TTATTATATATAAGTTCTTTTTTCTAGGCGAGAAAGGGGATATCGTTAAAATTAGGGGACCCAAAGAAGATGTTGATAAGTGCCATAAATATTTGATGAGACTTGTGAAAGAATTGAATGAAAACAATCATGTATTAGAAGTTCCCATTTTCAAACAATTTCATAAATTTGTAATTGGAAAGGGTGGTGTTAATATCAAGAAGGTAAGCAAGGAAGAAAAAAAGGCAATGTAACTTTAATTCTTTTTTATATTACGTCATGATGTTATTTAGATACGAGAAGAAACGCAAACGAAAATTGATTTACCTGCGGAAGGTGAAAAAAGTGATGTTATTACCATTACTGGAAAGAAAGAAAACGTGGAAAAAGCTAAAGAAATGATACAAAAGATACAAAATGAAATGGTATATATTATAAGAATATGAAAACGCAAAAGTTGAATAATATTGTTAACATTTCATATAATTTTTTTGTTTATTAGGCAAATATTGTGATCGATGAAATAACAATACCACCAAAGTTCTATAATTTCTTAATTGGAACTGGCGGTAAATTAATACATTCTATTATGGAAGATTGTGGTGGTGTAACAATTAAATTTCCTACTGCTGAAAGCAGAAGTGATAAGGTAAACAAATAACTTTGAATAAATATTAGAAATGTAAGTTGTTTTTTTTAAATCAATGCATGCAATTTTCTAGGTATGTAACAAAGGTACAAACAAATGTTTCATACAAAATTAAAAGGTTTCGAGGAACACATCAGATTGATTAATTGAGCAGATTTTTTATAATTTGTTTGAACACTTCTTCTGTCAAGGTATTTTTTTCTCAATAATATTTTGTAAATTTTTATTAAAACTATTTTAAAAAGTCATATTGAAACGAAATATTTTTTATCGTAATTAATTTGCACAAAAGAAATGTTCCAAAATAATATAAGAGTAAATTTATTGTTTGAATTATAAAATACTAATTATTGTGTCACTCAAACCATTTAATTTTGTGTAACATATATTTTTATATTTGTATTAAATATAAAAAAATATATACAATAATAAAAATGCACAAATGTGAAAAAGAATAAAATTATTATATTTTAATTAGGTGAGTATCAGAGGTCCAAAAGAGGACGTAGAGAAAGCAAAACAACAATTGTTAGAACTCACTAATGAGAAACAACTTACGAGTTATTCTGTTGAAGTTCGTGCCAAAATTCAACATCACAAATTTCTTATTGGAAAAAATGGTGCCAATATCAAGAAGGTAATACTCTCAAGCAGATATTAGGTGTAATACTTATAATTTAAAAATCAAAATAATCTCTGTACATAAATAATTTTTTTTATTAGATAAGAGAATCTACAGGTGCTCGTATTATTTTTCCAACTGAAGAAGATCAAGACAAGGAAGTTATTACTATTATGGGTAAAAAAGAGGCTGTAGAGAAAGCTAAAGTTGAATTGGAAGCAAATATCAGCGAAATTGTAAGATTTTATCAATACTTTTTAATAACATACTTAAAATTTCTAAATAATATTTTTTGTTGTTATAGGATAACATTACTGAGGGTGAAATACACATTGACCCTAAACATCATAGACATTTTGTAGCAAGAAGAGGAGGTGTTTTGCATCGTATTGCTGACGAATGTGGTGGTGTACAAATTTCTTTTCCAAGAGCAGGTGTTGATAGCGATCGCGTAATTCTTAAGGGATCACATGAATGTATTGAAGCAGCAAAACAACGAATGCAAGAAATTGTTCGAGAATTAGTAAGTTGTAACATAACTTTATACATTTCTTAAAGTTATTATTCATTATAAAAGACATTGTAAATGAAAAATGGATCTTTCGAAGAATATGTTAAATTTTTGCAGGAATCCATGGTAACAGTAAACTGCATAATACCTCAAAAACATCATCGTACTGTAATGGGAGCTAAAGGCCACAAAGTTCAAACTATTGTGTCTGAATATGACGTGCAAATTAAATTCCCTGATCGTGATATATTTGGTAAAAATATTTAAATATTTGTTTTAAATGAATATAAGCATAATTAAATATAAATACACATTATATTACATATATTATTAAATAATTTGATAGAGAAACATCACATTACTGAAAAAATAGATGGTGAGGATGGAGAACTTTCAGACGTTCTTGTATGTAATATAATTCGTATTACTGGACAACCAGAAAATGTAGCTGCTGCTAAACAAGCACTACTCGATCTTGTACCTATAACAATCGAGGTTAGTATTTTTTAAATAACCTTCAAAAAAATTTCTTTGATAATCATATAATAAAAATTTGTCATTTTCAGGTACCAGTACCATTTAATTTTCATCGTTCGATTATTGGTCAAAAAGGTCGTGATGTACGAGAATTAATGAATATGTATGATGTTCGTATTATGTTATCACCTGCAGAAGAAAAACTTGATTATATAAAGGTATATTCTTCGTAAATATATTCAAACAATTCCTTATATAATTTTAAATTATCGGTATTAACATAAAAATCATTAATCAGATTTCTGGAACACCATCATGTGTTGAAAATGCAAAACAAGCAATTCTTGAAAAGTGTAAATCTCTGGAAGCTGATCGTCAGGAGAGAGCACTTAAATCTTTTGAGTTAAAGGTATTTAATATATTTATTCGTAATCAATGTTTGTGTCTTTCTCATATTATTATTAAATACAAAAAAAATTTTAACATGTTACTTATTTTTAGATCGAAATTGATCCAGAATACCATCCGAAAATAATAGGTCGTAAAGGGGCCGTTATTAGCAAAATACGTAGTGATCATGATGTTCAAATAAATTTCCCTCGCAAAGGTAATCCAGAAGAGCATATCATTACTATTACTGGTTATGAAAAAAATGCTTATAGTGCGCGTGATGATATAACAAAAATAGTTAATGAATTGGTAAGACTAAATCATGTTGATAAATAATAAACTTAATGAAAGTAAATTTTATTATCAGATATTATTTTTTGTAGAATCGATTAACAAAAGAAGAGGTACATATAAATGCTGCTGTACATTCACGCTTAATTGGTTCAAAAGGCAGAAATATTCGTAAAATAATGGACGAATACAAAGTGGATATTAAATTTCCACGAAAAACTGATCCTGACCCTAATATTGTTACAATAAAGGGAGCAGAAGAAAATGTTGCTCAAGCTAAGGATCATCTTCTAAACTTAGAAGAAGAATACGTATGTATTCTGCATTTTATATTTTTAAATATAATATTGATAATAGTAGACATAGATTAATTTATATTTTTAATTCTAGATGCAAGATGTATTAGAAAATGAATATCGCGAAAATCTTCGTACACCTCACCACTATGATGGAGGTTTAACTAATAATGTAAGTGAGTCTGGTTTTATTGTGAAAGGGGGTCCTTGGGAACAGCAAAGGCAACAGAATGCTCCAAATACTGCGAGTGTTGAAGAGTTTCCACAATTTGCTGGATATTCTCATGTACCAATTGTAGCTCCTGATGGTCCTTGGGGTGTTAAACGTTAAGAATTATTTCTAGAAAATCATTGTAAGGTAATTTTCCTCTGACAAACAGTATAAAAGTATATACGCCCTCCTGGGTGATTCCCTATTCCATTACTGATGTTGCTGCATACGACCTGGCCACTCTATTGGACTTTGACACTGGTTTGCTACATAACGTTTGACGATGATGTTTATATTTACAATTCACACACCAATGTCCTATGTATCTGTAACTGCAATGCAAGACATTATAATTTTGTTGCCACGTTAGCATATACATTGAGATACAGGAAGCACATGATTTTATACACAATGAAATGTGTAGCCTTGTAACTATTTTGTTGATATGCCTTTCAGGTACAGATATGTTGTACTTAAGGCTGTGGGTTCTTAGAAGGTAGTCTTTTGTGTATTATATAATTCTCAGATTGTCTATTCATTTAGATTGTGTGAGTGAGCTTTTCACTCTGTCTGGCATAATATTTTGTTAATTTATTTATATTTTTGTATATAAATTGCTTCTTTTTGTTGTGTTAAACTTTAATGAAATCAATTTTAAACCACATCATGATATTAGAAACTATGGAAAAATACATGCGTATCAAGAAGCTTTAAGGTCTTTCTAAGGAAAACGTTCCTAGATCTTATTGTAATTTCATACTTTGTTACCTAGTTGATAGGGTTGCTCTCTGCATCCCTAAATTCCGATATATTATACAAAAAGTTAATGAGAGAGAATGTAACACTACTCTAACTGGTTTTGCTTAAAAGCTTTAAAGATAATATTGTGCGTTGGAGGAACAATCTTTAGAAAGCCTTGACACGCACGTGCGCTCTTTTATAGCCACTGAAATATGAGATGCAGAATCGCCGTTGTTAAGAATCGTCAATATTTTGTAGGTCAAAGAAGATATAAAATACATTTCGTTAGAAGACTTTATTTATTTATTCATCACTTAATGTATCATGTGCAAACCTGCATTCTACTATTTCTGAGGCCAACTAGCTAAGAAAAAAATATTCGGTTCAAGTGCCTTGTCTATTTTCTTCAAGACAGCTCATTTCAATTGTTAGAGGAATTTGAATATTAGAAAAAAGTCTCGCGTGCTCTCGCGCGCCAGAGGGAGAGAGAGAGACATATATTGATAATAACTATAATAATAAATATAATCAATGTATAACAGGTACCACATAAGTACATAATACTACTATTACAAGGACGATAATAGGAGTATCATGTATGCAGAAATTCACTTATATTTTTTAGATTTACAGTACTTTTTATAAGCTTACTTGGTATAGCGACCTATGTCATCCCCAGTGCATGGTTAAATGTAAGAAAGCAAGAATTAGCAAATCTTAACATACTTAGTTTGGCATAAGAGTTTGATAGAAGCTGTGCATGAATATACTTTTTCTAATGAGTTATAAATATAAAAATTGTAATTATTACATTCTCTGTACACATAGATAAATAATGTCAAAACACGTGAATTTTATTGTAAGAATATACTACATAACTGATTTATTGTTACACAGGAGTTTTTCTTTTCTCTCCCAATATGTAATATCATATTTTAATCTTATTCTAGTAAATCTGATACATTTAATTTTCTTAATTGTTGAACAAATCCACTGTTAGGTTTGATACAATTTCTTTTACTTTTAACTTTTTCGTATGCTTCATCATATGAAAGATTTTCTAAAGCCATCAAATAAGAAATAACAATAGTTGGTGAGCGGGACACTCCTGCATTACAATGTACAAGAATATTTTCATGACGATTTTGGTGTATTATATTAATACATGTTTTTACTGGTAAGAATATATCTGATTCTGGCAAATCTAGTAACTCGCATTGATAATATTCTATGCTATTAAATTTAAGATACAAATTAATACCGACACTTAAAATATGTTTTATGTTATATTTCTTAAGTATTTCTATACTGACAGCAGGATCTTGTGAACTAAGAAATAAACCATGTATAATACAAGCAATATGCATATCAGGCTTTTCATCAAGAACAAATGGTAAACCTTGTGCTAATTCTTTCTTTATCCCATTTACAACTTCGTATCTTCTACCAAGAGTATCTGTAATAACTGTTCTAGAAGGTTTCAAATTCATACTTTTCTTTTCTACAAGAGTTTGAAAATTCATTGCAAAATAAAATTTATCATGCAATAAATATTTTTATTAATATAAAAAATGCAATATTCACTGAATTGAATACATACATTTATCAATGTTTAATTCATTAGATTTATCCTTTATCGTAAATTTTTCTAATGTATCAAAATCATAATCTACTTTTACAAGATATAATCCATGTGGTGGCAAGATCTTTAAATGCTGATTCCAATTTTCACTTGACGGAACTTGTAACATTGTATTTATATCTTTTTCATTTATATTTCCAGTTGCTAATCCAAGCAATGCTGTTGCTATTCGTCTAACCTATTTAATATCATACAAGAAATATTAATTTATAAGTAATTTATAAACTAAATAAAGTAAAATTTTTAATTATGCAGTATATAAGACCTGATTATATAAGAAACCCCTAGAACTAATTACAATATGCCAATAATCAAAATTTGTAGATAGTTCATCAAAAGGCATTAAAGGTTGTGCTTTTTCTATAGTTAAGTTATTTAAATTGCGCACATATTTAACGTTCGTAAGTTTTTTTGAATTTGCTGCAAATGTTCTAAAATCTTTAAGACCCATGAAAAGTTGTGTACCTTGTTTCATTCTTTCTATATCAAAAGTCTCAGATCTGAAAGACACATATAACAATTATGAATGCTTAATATTCAAATTTGTTTTAAAGCAATTTTGTTATATATAATTTTATCATTACCTTACATGGTAAGTATGACATGTTTCTATTATAGGTATCCTTTGTTCACCGTATTTTTTAGCTATCATAAACCTATATGTATATGTTTTTGATGTAACTATTTTCTTGCTATAGAATTCATCTATAACTGGAATACATTCTAATATTCTATAAACAAAGCAGTCTTATATCTATTTATACAAGTAACATAGTAACATTACAATAACTATTGTTATCGATAATGCCAATTTTATTTATTACCTAATAAAATGTGAAGTTTTTCCAAAAAAACGATTAAGTTGTCTTATTATCTCTTCTGAATTATATAAAACATTATATTTATTTTCCAGTGTTACATGACCAATTGTATATAATGCATGTACACCTGAATCAGTTCTACAAATTTAAAAAAAAACATATAATTTGTTTATTCTATATTAAAAATATTTTATAAACAATGTTAAGCAAGAAAGTTTAATATTACAAAAATTACCTGCTAGTTAAATATAATCTTGGCTTTGATACAGGTTTTGGATATAAAGTTAGTAAGCCTGTTTCTATGGCACCTTGGATAGAGTCATTATCAAGGATATTTCTATTTGAATGTTTCTGCAATCCTCTTCACACAAATTTTTGATTAATATCTTTTATTCAATAAAGAAAATAATTTTTATGTAAAATCACATAATATAATAATAATAATTTACTATATATATATATATATATATAATTTAATTAATATTACTTAAGTTAACCAAATTTATAGTTCATAAAATGTTAAATTATTAAATTATATATTTTTAGTAATATTTTCTGTTTACTTTTCTACAGATAAATCCATACATATATAATATAATATTTTTATAAAAAAATATATGTAATTATATATAATGTTATATAAAAGATATATAATGTTATCTTTCATGACAATATCTATATTTAACAGAAGAATTTTATATACCTATATAATGTTCCAATAAAGGAAAATTTTAAGAAATATTTTCCCATTATTTGTTATTCATATAAAGATATATTCACATCTTTATTCTACCAATTGACTAGCATGTACTAGATTAAGGCTGAAACGTGTGTGACTTCAGCGACAGATGAAACACAATATGGACAAAATATGAACTATAAGCCTAAGCGAAAAACACTGACATTACCATGCGCTTATCGTATCGGTTATCGTATTGACGTATAAACTGTTGTAACAATAACGTAATATAACAAGCCGCTTAGTGTGGGTTAGAATAGATAGTAATAAGCTGTGAACTCAACTTTTCATTCAGTCATATATATATCTTTCTTTGATGGTAGCGTGTAATAATAGTAATAATATGAATTCCTATAGAGGAAGCCATAAAACAGTACTAAGAGAAAAATCTCGTAGATAATGTAGAAACGAATTTATGTTTTCATCTTTATTAAAAATAATAATAACAATAATAATAATAATAATAATAATAATAATAATAATAATAATAATAATAATAATAATAATAATAATATATATATATATTCATTAATTATTAATTTTGAAAAAATAATCGATAAATGTATGTACTTTATATATATTTGTCATTGAATAAAATTATATTGCTGATGTATCCTGTCTAGCACAGATTACCGCGAAATTCACCTCAGTCATCAATGGTGGAAATAAATATGAGATTGGATAGTAAAACCTTACTAAATTTTCAAATAATAAGGAGAAAAAGAGTAAATTATTTCATTATTATCATTTACATCGGTACAATAAAAAAAACCGAAATCATTCATCCTCGAACTTATGAAATTTTCTGAATTATGAGAATCTAGATCCTTCCCAATGTGCTATACACTGCTTGTAAAATCTATTTTTTTAGTCTATAAGATCTAAAACAAACTACAAATTTTTCTAGAATTTAACAATATTTTAGGAAATCAGATTCATTGACATAAATAATTAGACACATTATTAATAACATGTATTCCTTATTTTTGCCATAGAATCATCTAACCAAAGTTCATTAAAATGATCGAATGAATAACTTCTCCGTGCTAGCATCGTAAAACTCATTTCTTTGCGTTTGGAAATGTTAAAAAAACCTGAGCATCACGCAACAATCAAACAGGCAATCGCTACTTCACGGATATAAAACATACAGAATTCAAGCATGATATGAAAATCAGTAGTGAAGGTACTTCATCTCTTTGCCGCAAATTTCGAGGGACGCCACAGTACTAAACTTTTTCTTCGCGAAAAATGTCGAAAATAGTATTTACGCTAACAATGAGAACAGAAGTAATTCTCGATCAATTTTGATGAACAAGATTTCATTTTAAAGATGAAGGTTTAGTCTACAGTGCTGTCCCGACTGAGTTTTGAAAAAGCTTTTTATTTATGCATTAACAATTCTCGAAAGAATACCATTTTTTAGTACGATTTTTTTCAAAGAAAATAAAGCTTTTTCAAAACTTCGCTAAAACACCACCATAGATTAAACCTTTGTTTTTAAAACAAGATCTTATTCATTAAAATCGATCGAGATTACACCTGTTCTCATTGATACGTAAACCATTAAAAAACCAGAGGTAGTGAACAGCCTTAATAACAAAGAATTAGAATCATCTTTGATTCTAAAATACGGAAAGAAAGTAAAAACTCTAATGTAACCCTAAAAAGAAAAAACCTGTTCTTTTCATGGAAAGTAATTATTATCTTTCAATCAAGAGATACTTCTTCAGTAAAAAATTGATTTTTGACTATCGAATAACGTATCCAATTTATTTGTAATATCACGCCATTGTAATATCCCAAATTATGATAATACAGCATTTTAAACAACATACGAACATTTTTGCACACTTACTCTTAACTGCTTATTATATATCATTTAATTCTTATTTTAAATCTATATTTTAATACATTTTACTTTTCATATTTTTTTCATTTTCTCTTTCAAATATTTTTTCATTTCTTTCACTTTTCTCTTTGAAATAAATAGGGTATGTTATATCTTATTCTTTTAAATATATTATTTCTTCTTTTATTATTATAAATGATTATCATCATATATAATGTAGAATGTACATGATGTATATAATATTTAAGTATATATGTATTTCTTCTTATTATTATTATTATAATAATAGTAATAATAATAAGAATAATATAAAGTGAACTAGTCTTACGTGAAAAAACAACAAAATAACGCTGTAGATTTCTGCCTCATAGATAGAGTAGAAATGAACTCATGTTTTGATTTTTATTAAAGTAATATATAATAGATAAATATTTACTAATTATTATTTGTAATAAAACAATCAATTAAATCACCAAATGAATCAGTGCAGCTTCTTCTGGGAAATATATTTTTTTATTTATGAAACGGATCAGAAAATCCGAGTATCAGTTTATGCATACATCAATAAGCAATCAGTTAATTCACGGAAATAAATATAACTATTCAAGCGTGTATATGAAAATTAGTAGTAGAGATAGTAGCTTAATCTCTTTCACCGTAGATTTCAAGTGGCGCCACTATACAAAACTTATTTTTCACAAAAATGACAGCGTTTACACCAACAATAAGCTGAGGCATAATTTTTGACCGATTTTGATAAATAAGTTTTCATTCTAAAAAAGAAAGTTTATAGGAAATAAAAAGATAGGAAAATTTTAGGAGATAATTCTTCCGAATATTTGGAAAATTTTTATTTTTATGCATAAACTACTCTCGAAAAAAAAAACATCTTTTGATATGATTTTTTAAAAAAAAAATAAAGCTTTCTTAAAAATTCGAGGAAACTATCTCTTCATCTTTAAAATGAGACTGTTCATCGAAATCGAATTATATTTGGAATCATTGCTGGTGTAAATCATTATAAAACCAGAGGTGATGAACAGCCTTAAATGTAAATACGCATCATAAATAAAACCAATAGATAAAGAAAAATCTTCCTATATATTATTATAAAATATAAATTTCGAATAAAAAAAGAAGATATCAAATACGAGAGTTTTTGCTTGCTAATTGTTTTATATATTTTTAAATGAAATATATCAAGTTTAATTATCAAAAAGTTAAATGACCAGCTAAAAAATTCGCGAAATATTTTCAATTTTTAAAACTGGATGAAGATATAGCCCATAGTAACCGTAGTTCATGGATATAATTTGAAAGATCTAAGACGGTCACAGATGGCACACTTTGTTGTTTGCGGGTCGTCGAAAATGGCAGTGTCTCCGATCTTATATTTAATAGTCTTTTAACTTTGTCTCTGTTGCGAATAAAAATGTTTTTTTGTCAGTGTTCCTCTTTTGTTTGATACAATGTCAGATTCAAATTCACCTAAAGCAGATTCAAGTAATCCTAGTCCCTTGGGTAACTTACGGCAATTCCGTTTTCAAAAGAAAGTGAAAAGAATAAATATGTGTAAGAGATTAACTAATTATTTTCTAAATTCTATGTACTTCTATTTTTAATATTATAAATATATTAGTTTTTTAATATTATAAAAGTAGTTTTTAAATATAATATTATTAAGTATATTGTCATTAATAACTTATATATAAATTTTGGCATAACGTACGATATATAACTTGTTTTTATAATTATTTTTTTTGTAACAAATGTATCTTGTGTATAATATTTTTATTATATTTATATTCAAAAATGTGCAAAATTAATATATTTTCACAATATAATCATATTTATGGTATTTTGAATAAATTCAAAAAAAGATATATATATAATATTTGTTATTGTAGCTGATGATGACAGTAATTTAGTAACTCCTGACATACAATCACACCGAAGACCTGTCAATCGTATTGAAGATAGTGACAGTGATATTGGAAGCCCTGTCAAAGTAAATGCTACAAATTCAGAAATAGAAAAAGAATCTGAAGATAAACAGAAGGAAGTAAAACTCAAATATTTAACTACATTATATCCACAAAATGATACAGTTGTATGTATAATCTCAAACCTTTTAATTGGAATAGGTTTGTATATTGTTGATTCATATTTGTTTTTAGTATATACAAGAAGTACTTAATAATGTTAATTGGAATATCGAAGAAGCTGAAGACATCGTTAAAAAAAACAGAAAACGAAGTTTAAAAGGATCCAGTAAAAGTAGCTATAAAAAGCGTAGAAAATTAAATGTTGAAGATGCCGATGTAGATTCAGATGAAGTAAAATATAAGGACAAAGTATTTAATAGGTACAAAGACATTTGTCTGAAATTTCATATTTGATTCTTGTTAGAGTTCAAGAATAAAAAATTAAAAAAAATTCTTTTAGTGATGACGATTCGGATGCAGAAATTTCAAATGATTTAACTCATGATAAAAAAGCAGTTCTGGAATTCATGCGAACTGCACTACTTTCTGAATTGCTTTTGATACCACAATGTTCTCAAAAAAGAGCAGAAGCGGTAATGGAAGCAAGGCCATTTGAAAATTGGAGAGATCTGGTTTTGAAATTTCAAAATAATAAGTATTTGGATACAGAACTTTTAAATTCAACTCAGGTATATTTATATTTCATTACACATTCTTAATTGAACTACTACAGTGATAATTTTTGTTATGTAATAGGAATTATTGGCTACAAGACAAGTAATAGAATCTCTTATGAAAAAATGCATTCGTTTGTCTACAAATCTGGAAAAAGCAGTTGCTGCTGGTGCATCTACTATAAAACAGCAACCAAGAGGATTGTCACCGAGATTAACATTAGCGCCATATCAAATGATTGGTTTAAATTGGCTTGCAGTTATGCATGCCCAAAATGTAAATGGTATACTTGCAGATGAAATGGGATTAGGAAAAACTGTTCAAGTAATAGCTTTTCTTACATATCTAAATGAAGCAGGACTTAACGATGAAAAAGATGGACCTCACTTAATAGTTGTTCCAAGCTCAACAATGGGTAATAAACAATTAATACTTACAAACAATTTACTTTTTTTATCAATTATGCCTAATAAAATATTTTGTTATTATCATATGTATTTTCAGAAAATTGGTGTAATGAATTAGAAAGATGGTCACCTGGTTTAAAAGTTGTTCAATATTATGGTTCTCAAGATGAACGTAAAGAAATGAGAATGTCGTGGCGAAATGGTGATCTTGATGATGTAGATGTTTTATTAACTACTTATAATTTGATCAGTAGTACTCCAGAAGAGCGTAGATTATTTCGTGTTATGCCAATACATTATGTAGTTTTCGATGAAGCTCATATGCTTAAAAATATGAGTACTATTAGATATGAAAATCTGGTTAGAATTAATGTATGTATAAAAAACCCTGATTGACTATTTTTAAATTTTTCATGGCATAAAATTTAATTATCTTTTTTTATAGGCTAAACATCGTATTCTTTTAACTGGTACCCCATTACAGAATAATTTACTGGAATTAATGTCTCTTTTGATATTTGTAATGCCTTCTTTGTTTGCTGGCAAACAAGCAGACATAAAAAGTTTATTTTCAAAGAATTCTGTAAGTAATAGAAATGTAAAAAGATCATTATTATTCTACACTATAAAAAGTAACACAAATGTGGAAACGATATGTCTGCATATTATATAATATATTTCAGAAAATGTCATCAGACAAAACAAATAAACAACCCTTGTTTGAACAACAACAAGTTAAAAATGCAAAACAAATAATGCGCCCTTTTGTCCTTCGGCGACTTAAATCAGAGGTTCTTTGCGATTTACCTGAAAAAACGGACGAAGTGATACGATGCACTTTGACCAAGAAGCAAGATCGTATGTATAAAAATTTAGTTGAGAAATTCTCTGTTGAAGCTAATGAAAGCGCTGAAGTGAATGGAGTTGGTATGATGATGCAACTAAGGAAACTTGCAAATCATCCACTCTTAGTTCGAGATTATTATAAAGAATCACAGCTTAAGGTAAACAATTTGCCATTATTTATATACATTTCACATAATATTATATTATTATATTATGTTTTTCAGAATATAGCAAAAAAATTAGCTGCAGAGCCTGGATATAAACAAAAAAATCCAGATTACGTATTTGAAGATTTGTTCTGGATGTCTGATTATCAAATAAATCAGTTAACACGAATATATAAAAGTTTGGGTGGATTTGGATTACCTCAAGAATTTATACCCGAAGCTGGCAAATTAAAAAAACTAGATGAACTCCTACAAAATTTAAAAGAAAATAATCACAGAGTATTGATTTTTAGTCAGTTTACAATGGTATTAGATATTTTGGAAGAATACTTAACTATTAGAGGACACAGATATTTAAGGTTAACAAATCAAATATGCAACTTATAATAACGAATACAAATAAGTCCTTTCATTACAGTCTATTTTACTAATTTAACATATATTGCTAATTTAATATATTTTTCCATTTATATGAAATATTTTTATTTTCTAATTGCAGAATGGATGGAAGTACACCTGTAACGGAAAGACAGTCTCTTATAAATGAATACACAGAAGACAATAGTATATTTGTATTCTTATTATCTACAAAAGCAGGTGGACTAGGTATTAATCTAACAGCTGCTGATACCGTTATAATTCATGATATAGATTTCAACCCATATAATGATAAACAGGCAGAAGACCGTTGTCATAGAGTGGGTCAAGAAAAGTATGTATTTTATTAATTATATTTATATATTTTGTCATATCATTTGAAAGAGAAATTATAAAGCATCGATATTAAATTTGTTATATATGAAATATTTAAAATCAAACAATGTGCAATTTATTTTTAGACCCGTACGTATACTAAGACTTTTGGGGCAAGACACTATAGAGGAAGGCATGTATGAAATAGCTCAAGAAAAACTTAATCTTGAGCAACAGCTTACTGGTAGTGAAGGTATGTTAAAATTAATAAATATTTTATTATATTAAATTTAATTCATGAACTTTTTCACAGAAGGGGAGAATACAGATAAAAAAAGTGTTCTAAAATTATTAAAAATGACACTTGGACTGGATCCACACAATAGATCATTATCATTATCACCAACAAAAAATTCTAATAAAATACACAGCGAACTTGTAGAAAATCAAGCAGATAGTGATATAGAATTTTGATTAATACGTTTTTCTGTATGGAACAGAATAATAATTTATAAAAGGCAATGTATCGACGCACATCAAAGAAGAGGCATATTTATATCAATGCATTTTGTATCAACACAATGTCACTTATAGAATTTATATATATTATTTAATTTCTATAATACACTTTTGTAGGGTAGCTTTCCAGGAATGTTTATAATAATTTTCTTATTTACATAAAAATATGAATTTGTGTTATCATTGGAAACACAAGAAATCTACTTAAAAAAAGTAAACAAATTTTTTTTTTTTTTTTTTTTTTTTTTTATCGACAAGATATACCTACAATTTTTCATTAAATTAATCTTAGGTATTCTATCTTATTTATGTTTTTTAATCTACAATAACAAATATTAAACTTTTAATAAAATTCTTATTCATCAAATAATATGGCAGCTGTATTGCAATTTTAATAGTATACGAATTTTTGTATGCATTATATTTTTAGCATATTTCGATGAAATGTAGGTACATAATAGAAAAAGTAATAAGTAAATGCATACGTACATCTGAACATGGGACCATTGTGATACAATTTTTGTACTCTGGCTTGTTTCCATAGCTACCTACCACTGCCTTGATTACTGTACTCAAATAATCGGTATAATAATCTATATGGATAATGAAAGAGTAAATATATTAAAACTTCTATAATTTTCAGATATTTAAAAAACATGCTGCTATTATTTTATTTTTTATCTAATTATTTTTTAATTTTTATTATATTTACATTTGCTATTTTAATTCATCAAGATTTAACTGTTTATGCAATTTAAGAAAAATATACTCGCATTATTTATTTTATTTCGATAAAAATGTATGATAATACGGATAAAAAGAGAAAAAATATATAATAATTTTGGAAAGTTACCCTCCATCTACCGTACGTAATATAACATTTTTTTATTGATATTCTAAATAAATTCATTATAGAAGATCATTTTCTATATCATTTTTAGCTTATATTGTATATAATTATTAAATTACAATGAATAATATCATAAATAGTATAAATTCAATTTTAAATATTTTTAATAACAAATAATTTTCAATTTAAGTTAAAAATTGTGTAGCAATTAATTTGTATTTTAAGAGTTTTGTGTTATTCACATTATTTTTTAAAAGTCTTTCAAACCAAGTACATGGATACTCATGTATAGACACTAGCGATGAATAATTAAATATTACACGCTATATAAGGGTTTATCATACCTGCATTTAAAAAAATACGAACGTAATCTTACTTTCTTTAATTAACTGTGATTTATGAAACTATGTTAAAATCTAATATTAATTCAATTTTGGAAAAAAAATTTTATTAAGACATAATTATGAAGTACAAATAACTGTTTCATATTGTAATTATAATAAATAGTTCATATTTATATATAAATCGATTTTCGATTGACTTTAGCGTAAAAAGAAATATGTTACTGAACTTCTTCTTACCTTACCTAACATTTCTAATATTTTCTAATCAATGAAAAGTAATGTTAAATCGCAAAAAGATTAAAATATCTTCATAAGAATATAAAATATTTTATTTATGTAGTGCCAGCGAAGATGATTCTTTGTCGGATGTCGCCATATTGCTTACGACCATTCCGACCTATTAATTGGCGCAATTATTTGAATTAAATTATCTGGATAATAAAAGTGAAATAATATGTAAGAGTAATTAATTCTACCTTCGGAAAATCAATTATATTCTACTTCTCATTAAACAATAAGAATTCAATAGATTCTTTGTTATTGATAACATTACCGAAATATGGAATTTTCAACAATGTCTAACTGATGATATTTTATCTGATCATCTGAACAAATAAATATATGTTCGTTTCATTGTATATTGTATTTTTAATAAATCTAATGAAAATGCATGTTTCTATTCTAATACTAAATTCCTTCAGCAAATGTATGAAAGAACTATTGAATACCACTATTTATTTATCAACAGTTCAGTCATAAAAAAAAATCGTAGTATTATAATAACAAAGCTTATTATCTCTTTTATTGGATATATAAAAGCTTTAATTGTATAATTAAAATTCAATCTTTAGAAAAAAATACGTATTTGTAAATATATAAAATTCTTTATAAGCATAATATTCTTCCTCCCGATTATCTGATAGAATCTAAAAAAAAAAACATGAAATATTGCGATGAATTCATTTAATGCCATATTAATGCTACGTTAGCAAAACGTTGCAAGAAATTGGATAATAAAGATAATATAAATTTGTATAGTTCGAGTTTGCAAAAAGCAGTTAAAGTTTTGAATATTTCGTTCTATATCCACGATAATTTTAATTATTAATACCGGAAAAAAAGAAAATTTTTCTGACGAAGAGAAAATAAATCGATGATGTGAAAGTGGCGCATGTGAAACGTTGTTTGAGAAAAGTAGATTCATCTCCTAACTCCTTTGCTCTCTCCCACGCAAGTGCATTTTCCGTTTTTTTCTCATTTTCGTATCCTCAACGGAGGAAGAAAAAAGGATCTTTCTAACGTGTATATATAAATCTACACACCTTTTTTCTCTTGTATTTTAAAAGAATTAATCGGATAGTCCATTGGTTTTTTTTCTTATTTAAATGAAGAACGAAAAAAAAAGATATTAATTTTATAATTTATTTGTTAAAATCTTTATGAAAGAAATGAAGGATTTGGAGCCAGCATCCTGCCAGCGAAAACCCACTAAATTAAGAAATCTTATACATAAGACAGAAGCGTTCGATATATTACATATGAAATATGCAGAGGTAAAAGAATCTGTTCACATTTTTTTCTAATTTTAATTTTTGATTCTTATTATTTACTTTTGTTATTAAATAATTACGCATGATCATACTAATAACAATAAATTTTAATATAATACAATCTACGAGTAGATATTATATTCGATTTGTGCCGCAATTTTAACAAAAATTTTTTCATTTTTAGCTATTTCTATATAAAATTGATTAATGATAATATTAATTATTAGCTGAGCGATCGATTTAATTCAATAACAATATATATACATATATACATATATATATTTTTATAGAGAACATTATGTTCTGATCAAGTTTGTCTTGGAAGTATAATGGCCTTACCTAATCATGGAACAGAACCACGTCCTAAAGAAGAAATACTTGTCCATGCGAAAAATTTCCTTGAACAATACTTCGCTTCCATTAGAAGGTTTCTATTAAAAATATTATTTATTATATTATTAATATACAAAATAAATTCGTAATTATTTCATAGGATCGGCGGTGATGCACATCGTTCACGATGGGAAAGTGTGCAAAAAGAAGTTGCTATTACTGGTACTTATCAATTAACAGAAACAGAATTAGTTTTTGGTGCAAAATTAGCATGGCGTAATGCAGCCCGTTGTATCGGCCGTATACAATGGTCCAAGTTACAGGTTTGTTTTTGCCAATTATTTTCTCTTTGTTGATATTTATTAATATCAACTCTCTCATTTCTTTTTAATAATTTATCAATATTATAATTTATAGGTTTTTGATTGTCGATATGTTACAACAACCAGTAGTATGTTTGAAGCTCTTTGTAATCATATTAAATATAGTACAAACAAAGGGAACATAAGGTAAACGTTTTTATATTAGTCTTATTTTGTTATAATATAATTATTAATGCACGTATCTGTTTATTACAATGTAATCTGTTAATTACATGTATTCATATTTAAAAATATGTAAATTTTTACTATAGATCTGCAATAACTATATTCCCTCAACGAACAGATGGGAAACATGATTATAGAGTATGGAATCAACAGTTAATTGGGTATGCTGGTTACAAGAATCCAGATGGTACAATTACTGGTGATCCAGCAAATGTTGAATTCACAGAAGTAAGAATTAGTTTCAATTATAAATTAAAAATTTTTTATTACATACAGAAAATTATTTCTGATAATGAATATATTTATTCCTTAGCTTTGTATGAAATTAGGCTGGAAAGGTGAGCACACAAGATTTGATATATTGCCTTTAGTTTTATCAGCTAATGGTCATGATCCTGATTATTTTGACATACCTTCTGAACTTGTTCTTGAGGTACCTCTTAGTCATCCAACGTAAGTATGATTTCTACCAATCTTAATTAAAAGAAAAATAATACAAATTATTATTTACAGTTATCAGTGGTTTGAGAAATTAAATCTCAAATGGTTTGCTATCCCTGCTGTATCAAGTATGGTTTTCGATTGTGGAGGATTAGAATTTACTGCAGCTCCATTTAATGGATGGTATATGAGCACAGAGATTGGTGCAAGAGACCTTTGTGATGTTCAGCGATATAATTTATTAGAAGTATTTATCTGTATTTTAATATATATCATATTATTTTCAAAATTATATATATATATATATTACGTTGATATATTAAAAATATTTTTCTAGATAATTGCAACTCACATGGGACTTGATACTAGAACGTCCACTTCATTATGGAAGGATAAAGCTATGATTGAAGCTAATGTTGCTGTATTACATAGTTTCCAGGTAATGAATTTAATCCCTAATGGTAAAGATTACAGAACTAAAACTAATAATTAAAGAAATATTTTTAGATGAAAAATGTTACTATTGTTGATCATCATACTGCTTCTGAATCTTTTATGAAACATTACGAAAATGAAATGCGTTTAAGAAATGGCTGCCCTGCTGATTGGCTATGGATAGTACCACCAATATCGGGCTCTGCCACTCCTGTCTTTCATCAAGAAATGGCACTCTATCATCTAAAACCTTCTTATGATTCACAGGTTGTTATTGATTATTTTTGAATTTCTAATATAACAATATAAATGATACAGTCACAATACAGTAATATGAATTATAACACTAGGATCCAGCATGGAAAACACATGTTTGGAAAAAAGGTAGAGATAAAACATCTGCATCAAAAAAACCAAGAAAGAAGTTTCACTTCAAACAAATTGCAAGGTTAGTCAATAGATAAGGAAATAAATCTTTTTATCTGTATGTATGAAAAAAATAAAAATACAAAGTTTATTTTAGAGCTGTAAAATTTACATCAAAATTATTTGGAAGAGCATTATCTCGAAGAATAAAGGCAACAGTATTGTATGCAACAGAAACTGGAACCTCACAAATGTATGCTGAAAAA